TTGATAGCTGACTTGAACGCATGTATAATCATGTATTTCCTTATACTGAACATTTTTGACATTGGCTATATACTACACACATGGCGCTATTTTTTATCGTTGCACGTTAACGGTTTAGAGATTTAAAAGCAGGTTTTTAATTCAAATGAAACGACTTACATAAATAAAAAACACATTCACTTCTATTCACGCGCAACAACTCTAAATATAGATACCACAATCAACCTGTGACCGTGACTGCGCCACGGTCCACCCCTCTGTAGCCTAGTTTTCAAGCACTAACACCCATACACCTATTTAAGCCTGCTAACGTACGGGCCGAACGACTAGTTTGCGGGCGCTTAGCGTAGGTTGGCCGTAATTGTTCGCACCCTAGTTGTCGGTGGAATGTGCAAACAATAGTCATTCTATTCGCGTAGCAGTGCAGTGAAAGCGCGACTAACGACACCGAAGGTCCTTCGCTCTCTTTTTTCGCGGGCTTGGCTTTTGGCCAACGCGTTTTCGGCGCGCGGGCGCCCGGCCTCAAATCCGGCAAACAGCGATGTCATTTAGAAAGCGCGTAAGGTCAACGTCTACGCGTGCGCTGTCACGGTCATGCATCGCTCACCGGTTGTCATCCATCACTGTAATAGAGGTGACGTCCCTAGCGGACCCGACACGCGTCGCGTTACCATGCCAACCTTCACAATGTTCAGCCGACCCGACAGCGAGGGTTCCGGCGTATAAACAATTGCCACTGCACGGTCGTGCCCGAGTGTATGACAAATGATTCATGATCGACCGCGGCGCTCAACCCTGAGCTGCGACGCACGAGCGCGACAATCGCGACTCTCCTTGTGACAGATGTGCAGGTCTCTGTACACTTCTAGGCGACAATGTCGATCGCCAATGTCGTCGGGCACGGGTGCACGTGGCCTCTGTGTCGCAGCGACGTGCGCCTATAAAAACGCAGGCTGCATGTCGGACGGATCAGTATCACAGTTTCTGCGCAAGTACGATTGCAGTCAGCCAGCGCAAAAACACACCACGGGCTGAGTACCAGCATCTTGTGTTATAACAGTCGATACTCTCATGGGGTTGAGTGATCACAATTTATTTTTGTCTATATGTAACCCTAAATATTATGCATATCTAGCCAGTATTGGTAGTGCAGGCGTATAGATAGTTAATAGCGGTATTCGGTAATAGTAAGCAAAGGCGTATAGGTAGCATTACGAGTATTGGGTAGTAGCGAGGGTAAACTGTTGGTGTGTGCTTATTCACTATTGTGCTGATTTAAATTGCTAACAGTTTTCTGTTGTCATCCTGCTATTTGCGTAATAAAGCGTGACACAGTGGTACTATATCAGCAACGCGTTTAGAATTGATATATTTTTTTTTTTTTTTTTCGCGGGGGAATGAGGTAAGCACCTAGTGATAAACCAGTTCAGCTTTGTGGTAGAAATTATAATCCGTAAACTGTCTACATGCTTAAGAAGAATGCCTAAGTGTTGTAACACGCATGATGCGTTCTCAAGTTAT